TATGGTACTTTTTAAGAACCCAAGAGATAAACTGCAAATCACTACTCTGACCCGCCAAATGTACCCCGGTAAATCACAATTTTTTCTAGACGCTTTTTAAGATGCCACATGCAAATATTATCTACTTGTAGATTTAAGATCTACAACCCTCGAAGAGTACCGCTTAAGAACTGGTCTCTTCCCACCCGACCGACCCTCGGCATATATTTATAACAAATAAGTCGATAGTATACCATTAACAGGTCATTCCGTGCCGAGTTTCAGAAGCTGTAAGGATGTCTATGCGTATACGTCGCAATTGGTTGGCTTCACAAAGTCTAATAAGTGCATCACCCTCAAAGAAAAAGGATATTTAATGCTCACCGTCTCATGAGTTAGTCACTGCTATATGTGAAATAGCTCTTAATACCCTTAAAGGTAAGATACCTTTATTACAACACCAAGTAGAAAAACTAAAAAAGTGGTGAAAAAATATAAAAGCACTGAGCAACAAAAAAATGTCTTTTAGTAAGAAGAAGCAGTTGGTTAAACAGTCTGGAGGATTTATTGGCTCTCTGTTGGGGTTTGCTATCCCTCTGCTGACTGGTCTTTTGACTAACCGTTAATGGCACACGCTGCAAAAAAGTATTTAGTGTCTAAACAAGAGTTAGACCTAATACAGCGAAACACTCAGAGCCCTATATGTTTTTCTTCTCTTGATTCCAGATTTTTTAAGAAATTGTATGTATCAAAAGGGTAAAGTTATATAGTGTGCTCTCACCATTCACATTTGTTGTATATTGCTTTATTCTTTTTATGTGATAAGTGACTCACATTGGTGATTGGAGCACCTAAGGCCTGAATCTTTTAACCTTAACTTTTCTATATTTTACTGTTTGTCTCATTGTCACATTTTAAGGTTATTGATTTAGAAAATTATGTCTATCTTTCAAATAAGATATAAATGGCGAAATAATTTAGAGCAAAAATTTGAAATGGAAAATGACGGTAAAATTAATGAGAGTATCCTCATAAACAATGATTTAGACACAATATGTAAAGAGTTGGAAAAACTTTTAATTAAAGAAATGAAGATTAAATGGGAGATTTTTACCTTAGAAAAATATATTTCCCTTCAGATTACCCCTAGGGGTCTAAGGTTTGATAAATTACCCACTTTCGATCAGGAGAATGAACATTTTATGGGAATTTGGGATGGGGCCCTTGACTCCTTTTCTTTCCATATGATGAGGATTATTATAGACCGTAGGGCCTTGAACCTACATGATCTGGAGGAGAAAATTAAAAAAATCCAGAACCAATTAGAGCCTTTTTTTGATTTAGAGGAATTTGAGAATATTACTAAAATTATGATTGAAATATCAGTAATTAAAACAAAAAAAAGAAAATTAAAGAGAGATCAAGATGATTATAAAACTGGGAATATCAGACCACAAAAAAGGAAACTCTCTAAAGAACCAATTAAAAGGGATCTAAGTGTAAAAAAGAGGAAGGAGGATAATGGAAGAAAGGAGCCATATAGAAGGGAGAGAAAAAATGATTATGAAGAAAGGAGATTTAATTATCAGACCCAATATACAGAGGGAAAGAATAGGGCAAAAGAGGGAGGTTGGACAGAAGTGAAATATAGAAAAGGATATAGGAAAGATAGAAGGAATGAAGAATATGAATATAGAACTCCAAAAGTCCATCTTACCAATAGATTTAATAAATTGAGGAATCTGGACAATGAGGATCTTTTTTTAGATCAGGATATACACAGACAAATAGAGAGGAAAGGAAGGATGTATACCCCCGTCAAACGAGGCAGAGAATTAGAAGAGGGGGAACTAGACAACACCAAGGAGGAGAAAAGAAAGAGGGAAAAAAGGAGTTGGAGAAGGTAAAGTCTAAGGGAAAAAGAGGAGAATTTAGAATTTTTAATTTATCAAAAAAAGTTTTAACCAATGCACACCCTCAAATTTTAAGTAAGGGTTTTAAGTTTGCACCGAGTTGTGCGGCAGATAAATTTGGAACATATATTGATCTTAATAGATTTACTAGAAAACTATGTCTTAAAAATTTCTTTAAAACAATGCCCCTGAAAACTGTTGATATAGTAGAGGATGGTTTTAAACATACGTTTTTAAAAAATAAATCATCTTTTTATCCTTTTAATTTTAAAACGGATTCTATTAAAACATTTGAAAGATCCTGTTTGAATGATATTAAAAAACTTAAACCTTTAAATAAATATCAAAATAACCTTACGAAAGAGGAAAGGGAGGCACTTAAAGATTTACAAAAAGATAAAAGTATAGTCATTAAGCCTGCGGATAAAGGGGGTAGAGTTATTATTTGGGAGAAGGAGAGGTACATGGGAGAAATTTATAGACAACTAAAAGACCCTAGTACATATCAAGAGCTTCAAAATAACCCACTTAAGAGGATTATGGAATTATACCAGACTTTTTTTAAATAAAGGATTAGAGAATGGTATTTTAAATAAAAAGGAGTTTGAGTTTTTCAATGTTAAGTTCCCAAAAATTCCTGTATTTTATGTACTTCCAAAAGTGCATAAAGATGCAGATAATCCACCAGGGAGACCTATAGTCTTCGGTATAGGGTCCCTTTTAGCTCCACTTTCAAAATATATAGATCAGTTTCTACAAGAGCCTGTTAAAAAATGTAAAGCGTATCTTAAAGATACAATAAGCCTTTTAAACATTTTGAATGATTTCCAGTGGGAAGAAAATTATATTTTGGCAACCGCAGATGTGAGCAGCCTATATACTAATATTGATCACAGTAAAGGCTGTGAGGCTGCCGCATATTTTTTAAGAAAGTTTAGTGATCTGTCTGACATTCAAATTAATTTTATTATTGAAGGAATAGAAATAATACTCCATAACAATTTTTTTTGGTTTGATAATAAATTTTATTTGCAAACCAGAGGTACAGCTATGGGGACCAGATTTGCCCCTAGTTATGCCAATCTTTTTATGGCCTATTGGGAAGATCTCTTCATCTATAAGGATGAACTACTTGGGGCAAGTCTGGTCCTCTATAAACGCTATATTGATGACGTGTTTTTAATATGGAAAGGCAGTGAAGAAGCACTTAAGATACTATTTAATAATTTAAATAATAATAAGTGGAATATTACCTTTACTTATGACATTAGCCGCCAGACTATCAATTTTCTGGATCTAACAATTTTTATTGAAGATCAGAAAATTAAAAGTAAAACGTATTTTAAGTTGGTAGATGTTAATAGTTTTATTAATTGTGATAGTTGCCATTTTAGACCGTGGCTGGAGAATATCCCAAAAGGACAAATGTTGCGAGTCAAAAGGAATTGTACCGAAAATAGAGTTCATACAGCAAACAGAAAAATTAATGGGACAATTTGAAGAAAAAGGCTATAAAAGTAGTGCTCTAGAAAAAACTTTTAAAGACATTGAAAAAATTGATAGGCAAACACTTTTACAATATAAAAATAAAAATCTGAATCAAAGGGAAGATGAGGAAGTACCCATTGTTTTTGATTTTAGTACCAATAACAGAGATCTGAGGAAAATAATTCATAAAAATTGGCATATTTTAAAAACTGATGATAGGTTAATCAATTTTATAAAGGATAAACCAAGAATTATTTTTAGGGGGGCGAGGAATCTTAAGCAAGTTTTAACAAAAAGTTTTCTAGATGTTGATAAGAAAGAGAATTTTTTAAAACAATCAAATGGATTTTATTATTGTGGGAATTGTAGGGGTTGTAAAACAACAAAGAATAGGACATATAAAAAGATCTTGAATTTCTGCTCAAAAACTACAACAAAAGAGTATGAAGTTAAATCTTTTATAACATGTAATAGTAAAGGGGTTATATATATGTTAACCTGCCCATGTGGACTACAATACATAGGGAGGACGTCCCGTAGTCTTAAAATTAGGATCAGGGAACACATTTATAATATTAATCATAAGTTTGTGAATCATAGTGTTTCTAAACATTTTATGGAACATCATAATAGTGATCCGAAATACCTAGATTTTATAGGAATTGAAAAAGTTGATACACATTGGAGAGGTGGAGATAAGGAAAATTTACTTAATAAGACGGAAATGAAGTGGATTTTCAATATGGACACTTTAATACAGGGCTTAAATGTGGACTTTGAGATCACCCCATATTTATAAAGCTAATTTTATTTGAATAATTAATTTTTTTAAACCCCTTTTAAAACTTTTATTATATATGGATTAATATATTTTTTAGAAGATTTTATAGATATTATATATATATTTTTTTCAGAAGATTTTCCACAATTATATATGGATACATATATACCCTTAAATTATATATCTATTATATACAATGTTGGGTTGATCTCAATCCTCCTTTCCCATATATATTTTATATATTTTTTATATCATATACTTTTTATATATAATGTATTAATATGAAAGAAAATGTGAGATTATTGATATACTCTCTTTTTCCCCCTTTCTTCTCTTCAGCATATCTTGAAAGTGTAGTTTTCCAAGTGTATAGTTTTATAACCATAGGATTTATTTTAATTTGTTATGAAGAATAATATTTGTTAAATATGTTATATTTTAAATTGTAAAGTCTTAATTTTTGCCCTATTTGCGAGTTGATAAAATCCATTTGTAAAGAGGGCAAACCGATCTAACGCATAAGGCTCCGCCCCCTACGCATGCGTCGTGACGGCAGTATGAAAGAACGTTATGACGTCATGCGTATGGGACGTTACGATTGTGAACGCCGCCGGAAGTGGGTGAAGATAAGGTCAGACGCCGGAAGACGGCGAGGATGCGGCCAGATACCGGAAGCCGGAAGAATGAAAGAACCACAGACGGCGGGAAGAAAAGAGCGCTAAAAGAAAGGCATTTAAATAAGAAAGAAAGAGGAAGAAGGATGAACTTTTGATAAAGGCTACAGGCCGAAACGCGTTAAGTTTTATACCTAAGAGGACTTTTTTACTATTTCAGTGTTTATTGTATTTGTACCCAGCCACCTAGAATATGTGGAAATAAAAAGTTTCTTTGTATTTCATCACTTCCTGCATCCTGGATTGATTGAAATAACCAAGACTGAGGACCACAGAGGAATTTCAGCTGGGAGTTCAACTTTACTAACACTGAATTGATATGCTGTTAGTCTGAGCCAGCTTTTAAAAGTGGCTCATGACCATGTGAGTTTTACCATCTACATTATTAAATAACCAAAGTAATTACGTTATTACCCTATATGTTTTTCTTCTCTTGATTCCAGATTTTTAAAGAAATTGTATGTATCAAAAGGGTAAAGTTATATAGTGTGCTCTCACCATTCACATTTGTTGTATATTGCTTTATTCTTTTTATGTGATAAGTGACTCACATTGGTGATTGGAGCACCTAAGGCCTGAATCTTTTAACCTTAACTTTTCTATATTTTACTCAGAGCTCTGAGGCTGCTCGTGAATCTGTCACTCAGAACCTAGATAATGAGATTATGTCCATTCTTCAAAATAGAATTGTATCGGATGATGAGAAGATAAAGAGGTATACCACTATATTGCAGAAATACTTGGTACGTGCTAAACAGAGTGAAAGCAAAAAGATGGGATTGACTCTTTTCTTACCACCTGGAGAATCCTCCGTACCAAAACCCTCTAAACCACATCCTCATGCTGCTGAAGCCTCTGATGTTTCAGATGCTGTATTTCGTGAAGTCATTAATAATGTAAATGTCCGCTATAAAAAAAATGCTGAATTGTTGTTGAGTAGAATGTCTCAATTTAAGCACATTACAGCTTGGAATGATAAGGGTGAATTTGTTTATAAAAACACTGTTGTACCGGGATCAAATATACTCGATTTGGTACGTAGTGTTACCCAGAGTCACAATGTCACGGTACGTAAATTACCTCTGGGCTGGGATACTTTTCTTCAGGCTATGGCTGACCTGAACATACCGTCTACAGTTGTGGGCAACACATCAAATAGAGACTATTTGGAACAATTGAAATTGCAGAGCCTTCCAAGTGAGACTCAGGACATAACACCACATTTTCAAAAAAGACAGTCGTTACCAAATATTTCTTTTAGCACCCCGGGATTAACTACATCTCACGGTTATTTGCTACCTAAGAAGCGCCCATGTATACTAAAGCAGCCTGCTGATTGTTTGAATTTGTGATGTTTATTCATTGCTTTTCTGTCTAAAACATTTGATGATTATTGCTTTTCCTACATATATTGTATTACAGCTTTTGCCTGTGAATATTGTATTGTTGCTTTTCCAGTGAATATTTTATTGGCTTTTTTTTTGTCTAATAAATATCGTTATATGAGTTACTTTGGCATTTATTTATTTCTCAGATGTATATAAACTTGTCCACTGGGTTTGTTCTATACTTTCAAAACTGGCCCCAGACACATCTTCCAAAAACATGTCCAGACTTGTCCTCTTTATTCAGTAATATCCCTCCACTAAATGAAATTCAAAATAAATAAATAAATTAAACATTCAAACCATAGGATGTAGTACCTCATACAACTATATGGTGGCACACTCTATGAACATTGTAAAGGGTCATGTCTATAACACGCCGTTGGCGTGGTTTCAATAAAATGAACGCTAATACGTAATCAAGCTCAAGGGTCGGGGCCTTAAGGCGCTGTGGGCATGGCATCATAAATCAACAGGGGCGGGCCATAATGTGTATTGGGTGTGGTTTAATATAAAAGGGGCGGACACCCATCAACTTGCAATGGATGGTGTCATATTGCGCGAGGGGCGTGGTTTCATGAAAGGGGCTGGGCAGCCATCACCGCTCAGGAGTGGAGACATATTGCGCAACAGGCGTGGTTTCATAAAAAGGGCGTGGGGCACCTGTCATTGTGCAAGGGACATGGTTTCATTAAAAGGGGCGTGGTTTCATAAAAGGGTACCTGTCAAAAGTTAGTTTGATGACTTGCACCGCTACTTACTACTTAGATGGCTCTTTACAGTATGTGTTTAGGAAGGCTGTGTGAGTTACATGCAGGGAGGTGTGCCTAATGCTGCATAAACAAATTGATTTCACTTCTAAATAGCAGAGAATTGAGCAATGAGACTGCAGTGCATTGGCGGATCCGGGAGGGGGGGGAACGGGGCAATTGCCCCCCCACCCGAGATTCTCCCCTGCCGGCTAGTGCAGGGCTGGCATTGTCCAAGTGCCAGCCCTGCAATGTGCCTGCGGACCGGGGAGGGAGATCTAAGATCTCCCTCCCCGGTCCGCAGGCACCATGCTGGCAGCCGACAGGGGAGGGAGGACCCGGGAGCTCAGTCTGCAGCTCCTCCGGGTCCTCCTCTCTCGAGATTTGGAGCGTTGCCGCGGTTACCACAGCAACACTCCAAATCTTGCGAGAGTGAAGTCTAGCCCTGAAACGCGGGCTAGACTTCACTCACACTGGACCACCAGGGAATCCCCACAGGACCACCAGGTATTGAAATATGTCCCCCCCTCCTCCTCAACAAAGGTAAGAAGGGAGGGGGGACATCAATATATTTATTTAAATAAAAAATCCTTAAAAAAGCGCCTTCCTACCCTCCTTACAAACACACATTGCCCCCCATACACACACACTGCCCCCCATACTGCCCCCCATACACACACACACTGCCCCCCCATACACACACATTTTCCCACACACTGCCCCCCATACACACACATTTTCCCACACACTGCCCCCCATACACACACATTGCCCCAATACACACACTGCCCCCATACACACACACACACTGCCCTCCATACACACACACACTGCCCCCCCACAGATACTGCCCCCATACACACACTGCCCCACAGATACACTGCCCCCCATACATACACACTGTCCCCCATACACACACTGCCCCCATACACACACTGCCCCCCGACATACACACTGCCCCCCATACACACACACTGCCCCATACACACTGCACACCCATACACACACTGCCCCCACAGATACATTGCCCCCATGCATACACACTGCCCCCATACATACAATGCCCTCATACTTACACTGCCCCCCATACACACACTGCCCCCCACAGATACATACCCCCATACATACACTGCCCCCATACACACATACACTGCCCCCATACACACACTGCCCCCATACACACACTACCCCCCACAGATACACCCCCCATACATACACTGCCCCCCATACACACACTGGCCCCCATACACACATACACTGCCCCCCATACACACATACACTGCCCCCATACACACACACTGCCCCACAAACACTGCCCCATGCACACTGCACACCCATACACACACTGCACACACACTGCACACCCATACACACACTGCCCCACAAACACTGCACACACAGACACATACAGTGCCCTACACACACTGCTGCCCCCATACACACATTGCCCCACACACCCATGACCCCCCATACATACAGTGCCCCCATACACACACTTCCCCCATACATAAAGTGCCCTCCCCATACACACACACACTTCCCCCATACATAAAGTGCCCTCCCCATACACACACTACCCCACACAGACATACAGTGCCCCCCATACACACACTGTCCCAAACACACATACAGTGCCCCCCATACACACACTGCCACCCTCACACACACACTGCCCCACACATACACTGCCCCCTAACACACACTGCAACCCTGACATACACTGCCGCCCTCACACACTCACACACACACTTTACCGCTCACACACACTGCACCTTTCACACACACTTCACCCCTAACACACACCACTGCTCCTATGATCTATATCCCAGCAGACCCCAGGTAAGTTGTCAAACTGTTCTTAAACGGTATGACTACTTACTCTGGGGTTGGATCCTGGCACTACTGGCACTATAACTACTACACTGAGCTGTAGTGGTTATTGTGCCAGGATTATTTATTCAAATAATCTACAAGTGCCCCTCCCGAGATCAGGCTCTGAATCCACCACTGCTGCAGTGTCATGATCTATACACCAAATCTGCTTCATTAAGCTAAAGTTGGTTTGGTGACTATTGTGTGCCCTTAAAGTGGCACTGTCATGCCGAACTTACCTTTCCTCAATCTCTTCCTCTTCTCCCCCTCTCTCAGGATCTGTTATTCTTTTCTTCCTATCTTCTTTAGTTTTCTTTAAAATCATAAGACAAAGTAGGGACTCTTTGCCTTATGGAGGATTCCTCCTGCTTGACCAGCTCTGACCAGCGGAGGAGCAAAGTGTGCTTCATTTCCGCTGGTCAGAGCAATTTTCCCATGATCCTTACCTTCCCTCTGTGTTCCCACGATGCTTCCTGTCACTTTACACAAAACTGCCGAATTGCGTTCTAACTGAATGAGAACAGTATGTTCGTTTCTTTTAGAACGCAATTCGGCATTTTATTCGGATCGGAATTTCATTCTAATGAATGAAACTCCGATCCTATTCATTGCTGTGGCTGCATCTTGCAGCTGCTTAGTAGATAACTCCCTAATTCCCACGGTATCAGGGAGTTATGTACTAAAAGGCTGAAAGACCTAAATTGGTCTTTTAGCCAACTTTACTAATACTAAGTAAAAATTACTTAGTATTAGTAAATAAATGCCCCTACTCGCTATACCTGGTGAGTAAATCATGTAATGGCTACTCAGGGGACGACTAGTGGGGGCCCTAACAAGATATGGGGGAACTTGTCTCGCCCCCACCCCCCGTGGTGGGGCCCTAATAAACAACAAGGGGACCCACTTCCTCCTCTGCCCCCACCCCCGCGCTGCGGGTGGGGGCTCCTAATAAAAAATATGGGGACCTACTGTCCTCCCCTGGCTTCCCCACCCCTGAGCGGGTGGGGCCCTAATAAATGTCATATGGGGACCCTACTGTTCTCCGCCTCACTGAGCCCTCATCTGAAGATATGGGGGAACCTGTCTCTGCGCAGTGGGTGGGGGCCCTAATAAAACAATAAGGGTGGGGACCTACTGTCCTCCCCCCTGGCCCCCACCCCTGCGTGGTGGGTGGGGGCCAGTAGGTCCCCCCCTTATTGCTTTATTAGGGCCCCCACCCACCGCGCAGGGGAGGGGGCCAGGGGGGGGCAGAAGTCCCCCCCCATATCTTTATTTAGGGCCCCCACCCACCGCTCAGGGGTGGGGGCCAGGGGGGGAGGACAGTAGGTCCCCCCCCTCATTATCTTCATGGCCCCCACCTGCCGTTCA